GACAGAGAAGGAGCGCCCTCTGGCTGCAGAGGGCGTGACAGTAAAGACATGCTCAACATAATGGCTCACAAACCTTAAAGTACCTCCTGAACTTAATAAATAAGTATTGAACTTAATAAATTGCCAAGCCCAAAACAAACATATACTGTACATTAAGTGGAAACATATTTATATGAAGTTAAAAAACTGGAGATTATAGCTGCATGACATGAGCTACTAACAGCCTAAACAAAAAGCCACTATTTTAAATCATGTAGATTTTACTCATTAAGATGCTGGCTTGATCCTACTTCAAGATGATAAACAGCAAGATAAATGATCCAGACAACTCAAGATATGACATTTCCAACTCAATATTTCTTTGGAAGTTTTTGTCAAAGTTGATCCAAGTGAAGGTCAGTGTCACAGCCGAAAATGATTGGTTGAATTATAACCAGTGCCAATTTTTCAAAATTATACTAAAATATGTTTGGAATATGGAGGAAGAAGTAATAGGTTTATTCCATGCTGAAAAAAAGAAGAAAGAAAATACAATGTTTTGGCTGTGGAGCCTTCTTCAGGTGTGAGAAAGACAAGGCAGTAGGCAAAGGTAGTGTAGCGGGAGAACAAAGCCTGGGAGAGAGGAGGAGCGAGAGGTGGGAGCAGGGGACAGAAAGAGAGGCAGATCAAGAGGTGTGAAGTCAGAATAGCTGTAGAGAGGTGTGAAATTAAACCTTCAATGAATGGAGAAAATTTAGAAGAAAAGTAGTCTGTCGTTATGAGAAGGGGGAAGGTGTGATCCTAGCTGCAGGATAATTTTGGTTTCTGTAGTCTTTCTGATGTATGAGTTCAGAAAACCATCTTTGAGGACACAGACAGAGAAATTAGAGTGGTCATGACCATCAGAGGTGAAATGAGAAACAATGGGCTTGGAAAGATCTTTAATCTTCACTGCCCTAACATGTTCTCTGAAGCGTCTTCAAGTCTCCTTCCTGTTTCTCCAATGTAGATGGCTGGGCATTTACTGCAAAAGACCAGTAAATAAGGTTGCTGGAGGCACAAGATGCCATCTGGGTGATCCAGAATTGTGCTGAGGGGCCTTGAATGAGTGTGGTGTTAGATGTGTACTTGCAGGTGGATACAGCAAGCTCTGTTGCAAGGGAAAGTGCCTGGTGTGGATGGTCAAGGGAGCTGTTAACAAGGTTACGCAGATTAGGAGGTCAGCGATATGAGATGATGGGGCAGTCAGAAAAGAGGGCCCCAATGGAGGGATCATCCTGTAGGATGGAAAAGTTGTCGTTAATAGTCCTGGGGATAGGAAGCACCAAAGGAATGTGGTTGTTACGACGGGAGTTCCTGATTGAGTTGATGGTCTGAGGGGTGTTTTTGGCTCGGGCAAGGGCCCTGTCAATAACACTGCTAGGGTATCCTCTGATGGTGAAAAAGGAGTACATTTTGAGGGCTTCTGGAAATCATTGTCGTCGCTGCATAATCGTCGTAGCCGAAGGAACTGTGAAAAGGGAGAGTTTTTAGTGTGTTTGTGGTGAAATGAGCTATACAGGAGATAGCTATGTGAATCCATGGGTTTGTAATAGACCGAAGTAGAGAGTTGGGGGTAGTTAATGGAGAAGTTGATACCTAGAAACAGAAGAGTAGCTGAAGAAATGTTAACTGTATATTTGAGGGATGGGTGAAAATTACATCTAGGAATTACATCTAGGAAATACATCCAGGATTTGTATTTGTGTTTTATTTGTATCATGTTGTATCATGTTGTTCAGTATGTGTTCTAAACTTCAAAAAACAATAAGATTGGTCACAAAACTAGAAATCAAGCATTGTGTATCAGCCTGCCCATTGATGAATAACTAAGAATTGTTTATTTCAGCATACACAAAAAATAGACTGAAAAAAAATAAAGAGGATTAACTTTTCATTACACTGAATTTTATTTCACCTTATGGGATGGCATTAAAACACTGTGGGATTCTCCATACAGGGACAGGTCATTCAGATCCCTCTTCTGAAACATTTCTATCTTTACTTTTTTTCTTTTCTAGGTTGCAGGGTTGGTGTGTTTCTGCCTTAGTTCAAAAGCTTAATCATCTGGGGGCTACTACAACCATACTGTATGTTGTAAGTATCTTGTGTGGATAAATAAGCTTTTATGATGTGAGAATTAGATTCATCTTGAATCTTTTGTTTAAACTTTTCATCACAAGAAAGATGGCACTGAATGTTTCAACAAAGGTATAGTTTTTCCCACTTGAGCAAGTTTTGACCCTTTTTTTGTCTTTTATAATTTACATAGGAACATAGGAAAGCTATTAAACAACAGAAGATCAGTTGGCCCATCTATTTTGGATCCTAGTAGGTTTTTATTTCAAGGATATCAGATGATGCCTCTGAGATCAATATCACACATGGGTTGCTACTTCATCTACATGGAGTTTGTATCATGTCCCTGTGTTCACATGGGTTTTCTCCATGTGCTCTAGTTTCCTTCCATAGTCCAAAACATGCTGGTATGTTATCTGGCTTCTAGGAACACTGACCGTAGTAGGAGTGTGTTTATCTGTGTCTGTGTGTGCCCTGTGATGAACTGGCGCCCCGACGAAGGCATACCCTGCCTTTCACCTGTTGCTTGCTGGGATGGGCTACAGGTTCCCTGTGACCCTGAACTGGATGAAGTGGTTAGAAAATACGTACATTTCAGTAGCTTGCAATAATTCTTATTTGACCATGCAGTCAATGAAAATCAGGTCCTGCACAGGTAACACTTTAAAAGGCTCCAGTGAAATCTGAGGAAGGAACTCCACCTGCTGATTGCTACTATTGACTGTGACCAGGAACTCCTAATGAGTAGCACAGATCTGGCCAAACATTGCAAGAGGAATGAACTTGACTGGGGGGACCTCATTGGACCTTGAACATTGCGACACTGTGGCATTTTTTGTGAATCAAGCTATTACATGAGGTGTACTTTTTGTCTGGGGCTGCATTAATCCTCCAATAGGCACTAAAAACCTGCTGGATTAGCTTCATTTTACCGGAATACTTTTCTAGTTCTACAGTGTACTGTATGTCGTTTTGAACACGTTGCATTTGGCTAATGTTGGGCTTTGGCTATTGATTAAAGATAAATTCCCTTCCAACTAGACTTTAACTGCTGGATTGAATGAGTTCTAGTCAGTGAATAGTGAATAGTGCCATACAAGTGTACAGTATATGTTGAAAAACTAATAGATTGCTTCTGTACTGTAGGAAAGCTATCAGTGGGGAGGAGAGCAGAGTAATGAAGGATTATTAGGAGGCCATGACTGGTAAGGGCCAATGGGAAATTTGGCCAGGACACCAGGGTTACACCACTACTCTTTTCAAGAGATTTTTAATGACCACAGAGAGTTAGGACCTCTGTTTTATATTTCATCCAAAGGACAGACCCTTTTTACAGTATAGTGTCCTAGTCACTATACTGGGGCATTAGGACCCACATGGACCACAGGGTGAGCACCCCCTGCTGGCCCCACTAATACCTCTTCCAGTAGCAACCTTAGTTTTTCCCAGGAGGTCTCCCATCCAGGTACTGACCAGGCTCATACCTGCTTAGCTTCAGTTGTAGGGTGATATGGCTTCTGGGATTAGCTGTCCAAACTGGTTATTAAAATGAACTAAATACTGGAGACTTTTAATATAAAATTATTAAATTAAGGTAAGAGAATACTGCATCAGAAATTGGTAAAAAAAACAGGTACAGTATCTTTAATTGCATTGAGCAGTAGAAATCAGCTTAGACGGGATATTTATGTCTGTGCAAAATAAACTAAAGTTGAAATTTTCACTCTCCTCTCCATGTTAGTATTCATCCCTAGTCTGCTATCACAGCCTAGTAAACATTATGCAAAACTCCCTGGTCTACTATTCCAGAATACAGATAAAAGTCTGCAAAGAGGGTCATTGTTTTTTTTTTCCTAGTGTTGTTTTATGCATTTTGAAGCCAGACAGTAGATGTTAAGATATTCATTCAGTCCTACAATGTGCCAAGGTCCAAGGAAGTACTAATATATTAGCTGGCTGGCCATTTTGCTGCATGAAAAGTGCAAGTTGAGGTAATCTTTCAATGGCCACTTGGCTAAATGTGTGTGTTTTAACTTGGGAAAGTGGGGCTTCCTCCTGCATAATGCTAATAAGTCCTCATGTTGTCTATATGAAAAGGTGCTTGATTTCTGTGACTTGTACTTGTGTTTGTAGTAAGAGCTTTGGGTTTTGTTTATTTTAAAAAACAATAAAAAACTTGAGAAATAAAGTATTCGATATTAAGAAATATAAGTTCAGGTGGGTAGCTGCGTCAGCATGCGTAGGCTGCAAAGGAACAAGTAATAGGCTTATTCCATGCTGAAAAAAAGAAGAAAGAGAACACAACGTTTCGGCCGTGGAGCCTTCTTCAGGTGTGAGGTGTGAAGAAATATAAGGCTACTGTTAAAAAAGCAACACTGTTAGGAAGGGGATGTTTATCTTCCTACCACAGGCTGTGAGATCTGATTTAGGAGGTAAACTTAAATCCAAAGGCTACAGTAGAAGATTTTTTACCTTTACTGGAATCTTTAGGATACAAATTGTATCTTGGATTTTTTATGTGAATAGATTTCTACCCTGCCCCTGCTGGGATACAGCTCTGCTGTGCCCTCTAAACACCTAGTCCTTAACCGCAAGTTCAGCAGCTGACTGAAAATGGGCGACAATGCTACATGACAACACCCAGTGTTCAATGATAAGATAGTCAAGAGAATTTGCCACAATATTTTCCAAGGTAGGAGAGGCAAAGCCTTTTTATTCCTCCAGTCTGTTACCTACCCATATACTTCATACAGGCTCCATCCCCCATGAGAGGCTGAAGATGGTTTGTTACGGATAAAACATATTTTTAAGCAAGTGACACAGTGGCTTTCTTGTTCCTCTGGGGCCCATTTTCTCTTTCATTATTGCATGAACAAAGAATGGGAAAGACACTGGATTGTGATGATTTATAAAGTTAGACATGTTAGTGATTAGGCAAAGGCATATAGTAGTTCTGTATTTATTTTAATAAATGTGATTATTGTCAAGAGGCATGCTGCCATGGCTGGGGGAACAGATGATTGTGCTGTAGACCAACTGTTGAAGATTATTTATGGATTTCAGAGACAGAGGACAAATTAAAATAGAGGCAAGATCTTCACTCAATCAAAATTAACAAGAACTGAAAAGATTGGACAGAGAAACAATGATTTACTGCTGATATGAAAGGGTACAGTAGTTATCAGGGAATAGTACTGCTAACTGCCTGTGTTGTTGGTCTTGCCTAGCGTTCAGACTGAAATCTGAAAAACATTAAAATGCCTTGGATTATAACCTTTGCTGGGATATTATTAAGCATTTTGCAACACAGGAGTGAAGGGCTGACTTTATGTTTCAAGTACATATACTTCTAATCAGGAGCTGAAGTATTTATCTGTAGCAAATATTTTCAATATGTTCAAAGATTCATCTGCTAATTTGAATGTTGTTAATCTGTAGGCTGTTTAAAGTTGAATAAGATCAAAACTTTATTATAGTAAAAATGTGCAGACATAGACTTATTTTTTTTCTTGTTGGTTAACCAGAAAACAAAATAGACTTCTTACATACAGTAGATGATGATATTAACTGGCATTACCACTTTAAATGATTTCTTGTAAATGTAATTTATTTCAATTTGTTTATTGTGGTAGATTATAAAATGCAAGATAGAGGGAGACAGAAGACAGGTAGTCACATGCGAGAGTGGTATAAGGGATAGATGGAAAAGATGGAAAGAATAGGTTGTAGACAAGCACACACCAAGTCTGAACACCCCTGTGAAGTCCATTTAAGCTTTGTCTACAGCCATAAAACACTGTCTAGTCCCATGAAGCCCTGTGCATTCCAGTGGACTGGAAACAAAGACCTGTGAAGTAGATCACTGAGTCTTACCTGTCGCTGTAACTTTGTCTCTCTTGGCAGATTTAGGACTGAAATTGGTTAAGTCTGGTGTTCCTCAGGGTTCAATACAGCATTTACTGTACATGCTTCCACTTGGTCAGCTTTTAAGATCACATGTCCTCAACTATCATTTCTATGCTGACAATACTCACATCGACATCCATACCAAACCTGACACCAATGTGGCTGTCTTTATTCTTTCTAATTGCATCTCTGACATAAAAACATTGATGATTCAAACTTTCCTTAATCTAAACTGTGACAAGACTGAAGTCATGCTTATTGGTACCGCCCATCAACTCTGTAAAGCCAATCCTGTAACCCTATCTGTGCGTGGCACTGTACTTGAACTTCAGTTTAAATTGAAAAATGTGGGGGTGATACAGTATTTGATTCAGGCTTGACATTCAACACACGTGTGCAGCACATTGTCAAAACATCTTTCTTTCACCTCAGAAATATCGTTAGACTACGCCCCATGTTTTCACTGTGGCTGAAAAGCTGATCAACACATTTTTCTTCTCCCAAATTGACTACTGTAACACTCTACTTGCTGGGATTTCTAAATCCACATTGAAAAAACTCCAGTATGTCCAAAATTCGGCAGGCAGAATCCTGACCAGGTCTAGTGCAAGTGATAATGTTAGTCCTATCCTGGAGTCCCTGTACTGGCTTCCTATCAAGTTTTGTGTCAACTTCAAAATCCTCATGCTCACCTATAAGGCTCTGCATGGCTTGGCACCTCAGTTCCTGTCTGAGCTACTATCGCTCTATTCATCACCTCGCAACCTTTGCTTTTCTGGTCTCCTATCTGTCCCCCAAGCCTGTCTTCACTCTGTGGGTGACAGGGCCTTCTCCTGTTATGCCCCAAAGCTCTGAAACTTTATCCCCAAGGATATCAGAAAGTCACCTTCTCTAAACTCTAAACTTCTTCTTTAGAAGAGCCTTTACTTAACTGGTTCTGTTCTTTACCCCCTATGCTCCTACTGTATTTAGTACTACCATCTACTGTCTCCTTTAAATGTGTATTGTCATTATTCATATGTTATGTATTTTTTATTGTTGTTGTCTATCTGTAAAGCACTGTGAGAAGCCACCTTTAAAGGTGCTATATAAAATAAAGTTTATTATTATTA